AAAAAGGAACACAGCAAATGGGTTTTCTCTCAAAACCTGTTCCCAATTTCTTCCTGTATTTGCTTTTGTTCTTCTTCAGTCTTCAGCTCATCATCCCACTTGCTGAATCTGCTACTGATATCACCTCCTTGGTCTACAAGGGCTGTGCAAAGCAGACCTTTTCAGATCCAACTGGGGTTTACTCTCAATCCCTCTCAGCCCTTTTTGGGTCTTTGGTTCAACAGTCCACCAAGGCCAAGTTTTTCAAAACCAACTCTGGCAGTGGCCAAACCACCATCTCTGGTCTCTTTCAATGCAGAGGGGACCTCAGCAATTCTGACTGTTACAACTGTGTGAGCAAATTGCCACAAATGTCTAATAATCTCTGTGGCAAAACCATTGCTGCTAGGGTTCAGCTGATTGGGTGCTACATGCTCTATGAAATCTCTGGTTTTGCCCAAATTTCAGGCATGGAAATGTTGTTCAAGACTTGTGGAGGAACAAATATTGCAGGAAGTGGGTTTGAAGAGAGAAGGGACACTGCCTATACAGTGTTGGAGAATGGTGTTGTGAGTGGCCATGGCTTCTATACAACAAATTACCAACAAGTTTATGTCTTGGGGCAGTGCCAAGGAGATGTGGGAGACTCAGATTGTGGTGAGTGTGTGAAGAATGCTGTGCAGAGAGCTCAGGTTGAATGTGGGAGTGCCATTTCAGGCCAAATCTATCTCCACAAGTGCTTTCTTAGCTATAGTTATTACCCAAATGGGGTTCCCAGGAGATCCTCCTCATCTTCATCATCATCTTCTTCATCATCATCAGGTAAAATGGAAGTCAGATTTTGTTCTTTTGGATTTGGGGCCAAGACTTTTTGTTTTTACAATTTATCCAATTTCTGGTTAGGTTGTCAAAGAGGGCTTTTTGTTAAGTTGGGTAACTTAGATTAGTGTTTCTCTCTCTAAAAATGGTTTCCATTACAATTTATCCAATTTCTGGTTAGGTTGTCAAAGAGGGCTTTTTGTTAAGTTGGGTAACTTAGATTAGTGTTTCTCTCTCTAAGAATGGTTTCCATTTATTGATCTGAGTTTTGAATGTGCTTGATTGAAATAGGGTCAGGAAATACAGGGAAGACAGTGGCTATCATTTTGGGAGGAGCAGCTGGAGTTGGGTTTCTAGTTATATTTTTGTTGTTTGCCAGAAATTTGATGAAGAAGCATGATGGTATGTAAATTATATACATACAAGAATATGAGATGCATCTTATTTCTGCTTTTAATTTTTATTGTTCTGATTCTAAATTCTAATTTACCATGGTTGGATCATGTTATTCTGTGCAGATTATTGATAGGAGGACATGGGTTCTCAAGAAGCAAGCTTCTTTTAAGGTGGTGGATACTTGCAACAATTTTTTGTTTTGTTAATTTTCTCTCTTTTTTTTCCTCTTCTAGAGAGAAGAAAATGAGGTTTTTGTGGTGGATAGAATTGTCAAAGGCAAAGTAGGAAGGCGGAAAAGAAGAATTTAGAGCATGAAATTCAGAAAAAATTTCACCTCCGTGAAAAATTGATGTAGGAATGAATGTTTGTCATTTTGAAATGGATGGAAAAAAAATCAAAAAGAAAAAAAGAAACGGGCAAGGACGAACAGATTTTGGCTTCTTTTCTTTGTTTATTGTTTTACCTTCCTTGTCCCTGATGAGTCATGTGGGTGTGTGTTTGTCTCTTTTTTCTCACTTCCCCGATTTCTTCACAACTTTTATGCTTTTTAGAAAGTTGCAAGTTGCAAACAACTTCTCTTTCTTTCTTTCTCATGAGCGCGCATAACACAGAGCACATACTTTTTAATTTATTTATTTTTCTGGGGTTTTTTTTTTTTTTTGTAATTTATTTATTGGCGACATTGCTAAAAAATTTCAAGGTTAGAAGGAGGTTTGTTTGAAAGTCATGGCCCAGAAGAAAAAAAACTATAACGCTTTTTGAAATGCCAATTTATCCAAACCGGAGAAATTTGTTCATGGTTCAGAATTTTTCTTATTGGTAGGAGAGGCAAGAGTTGAAATTCGAATCTTTACAGGGTAAAAGTATATGGCATAGCTTTACCCTTATCCAAAAGAGTAATATGTTAGGTAGGCTATCATTTTATACCACCCCTAAGATGTACTTGTATAACGGGTTCTCATCTTTGTGAGACCTTTATTAGAGAGATGGTATACAATGTGATACGTGTTGTGTTTGGCCTGGCTCGGTAAAAGTTTGGTGAAACTGCCGACTTCAAATGGGTCATACAGAGGATGGCGTAGGTGGCCATTGTACACCTCGATATTTTGTCACTTGAGCTATAAGCCCTCATAATTCAAGTTGAAACTTAAAGTGCTACAAGCCACCGACCATTCTTTTTGGATGAAACTATCAAAGTATCATTGTCCTTGTCTGCCATTGTAGTTTGATAGACATTCATTAGTGAGGAAATTATGAAGCTATCCTATATCTATACATTTGAGTTTGGCAATGAAGGAGGGCAAAAAAAGAAAAAAGCCAAGACCCAAAGGATGCTAAAGAAAAGTTGAATCAAGAATGATGTTACATTAGAAGATACTCTCATTTTCAGTAGTGAGTCAAATTTATAAATAAAAAAAAGGGCCCCAATGAGGATTAGGCCCTACAATTTCGTACTCTCTTATTCAGTGGGGAAATCTTGGATGAGTTGTTTTAGATTTTGGATGCTGATGAAATTGCTAAGCTAATAATTTTGTGCTAAAGCCCGGCTTGTAGTTTAAGATTTGTTTTACTTTCACCAACAACTCAAGAGGGAAAAAGATAAAAAGTTTCTATGATGTCACAGCAAATCTTCAACTTCTAACTTCAGCAACAAGAAAAAAGGAAATTCATGAGAAAAAGAAGAAGCAAAAAACAATCAAAGTTCCATATTTGCTGGATTCTGTTCATATAAATTTAAAGTGAAGCCATAGCTCCTATAACGTAATTTAAAATTTTAGTAGGAAACCATACGTCGTAGTCAGTTGAAACCTATTTACATCTGAAGGCCATCTAGTCATACTTTGGAATAGACGAGTTTGAAAAGAAAAATAAGTACTTGGATTTGACAACAAGGTTAAATTTGCTACGGAACTTAGAAAACATTTGGTTGAAAATATTGACATCCATTTGTTTTCTTCATGTTATTTTTGTCCATATCGTGACATACATGAATTACAGTAGTCTCACGGACAAAGTGATCCCATAAGATCATCTAAATTCTTAGATTTGAGATGCCCTAATATTCTGATATCTTGGCATGCATATTGTTTAGCTTTGGTCCAGATTGGATTGTGATTAATCTTGAATGGGCTTTGACTTTCAATTTTTTTTTTGGGTCAATGGAATATACTTAATTAATCTCAGGTCAAATCTTAAACAAACTCACTCACTCACTCAGTCACAGGCAGCATTTGGTGTTGGTAGTAGTTGTGTGTGTCAAAGGACAGGATGAAGATGAATTTCATTCAAACAAATATATATGCAGTAGAAAATAAAAGAATAAAAAAAGGGGAAAAAGCCAATAACCAGTGGACACTGGAAAGTCTCATTCCATGCTGTCAACAGGTCATTTTTGTGTGCAATGACAGGTCAGACATGGGTGATGGGTCCCACATACATATCTTCCATGCATGCATCCTCTCCTCTTTGTCCCTTTGGTGGCTGGCTAGCCTTCACACTAGTTATTAGTTGTCCAGTTTGTAGTTTTCCTTTTACTCTAGAATGCTCTTCTTCAAGATCATTATGACAATTTTCAATTTTGTAACTTGCAAGAATCTTAGAATGTCAAATGGGAAGTTTTGAATACAAAATTCAGCCACCAAAAAAA